TAGGGTTCGAGTTGTTAAGTAGGGCAAGATGTGTCGTTGAAGTTTCGTTAGCTGCATGCCAAGTGGTTGCTCGAGCGTCAAAAGCAGAAAGCCTTTCTCTTGCTTATCGCCCCTACTTTGCTCGAGCGAAACAACATCGCTCAAGTGAAAGCTTTACCTGGAGAACCCTATTTTCCTTTTTTTTTTTTAGCCATATGACCAAAAACATCCCATATAAATTGTATTGTGTTGTTTTTTCACATTTTTCTTAAGGATTGAACTTGTAGAAAAACTTATTGCTCTTTGATTCATTCACTCGATCCTACATTCTTTGAGCGCAATCACATAAAAACATCAAAATCACTTTCTTCAAACACCATAACACATTTGTTGAGTCTTGAAGATCAAAGAAGGAGATCGGGGTTTTGATCATTAGAGAACGGGGAGTTCTCTTGAGTCAACATAAGAGAAGAAATCAAGAGCTAGGAATTGGTGTAGCAAGCAATCCAGGAGGGCTAGGAGCCGAGAGTTGGTGTAGGATCATGCGTTCCAAGAAAGCTTTGAGAAATACTACAATCAGGAGGTCGAAAAAACTATTGTGGGTTGAGTCTGATGAATTGTAAGTGATTTCTTCATTTATAGTGGATTTATACTGGCTTGGGCCCCGAGTTTTACCCACATTGGGGTTTCTCCATCATAAAATAAGGGTGTACTTTACAATTCTTGCAATTTACTTGTTTTTGATATTTCAACATATGATAGTAAAGCATGTGAATTGATCTCGACAAATTAATATTTGTGACTTGTTGCTTATATTAATTAATTGGTAAAAATTTCGCATAAACACCTATTCACCCCCTCAAGTGTTGATTGGGTCAAACAACATTATTGCAAGTGGTATCAGAGCCTACCTTCGAGTCGTGACCTATTATTGTCTAGATGAGTCAATCACTTTTTGTGCCTTCGTATTTTGATGGAAGCAACTATGCATACTGGAAGGTTAGGATGCGTGCATTTCTTAAGTCCCTAGATGAATATGTTTGGGTGAGTGTGCAAAATGATTGGAAACCTCCTTCCACAACTGTGTCAGGTGTTGTCAATCTAACTGATATTTTACTTTAAGCTAATGAAGAACTAGTTGATTGCAACTGGAATAGCAAAGGACTTCATGCTTTGTTTATGGCTTTGTCTCCTGAAGAGTTCAGGAGAGTGTCAATATGCGAAACTGCTAAAGAGGTTTGACACATTCTAGAGACTACTCATGAGGAAACTAAAGCCGTAAAAATTTAAAACTACATATGTTAGCCTCTAGGTTTGAAGAAATTAGGATTAAAGATGATGAATTGTTGGATGAGTTTTACGCAAAATTGAATGACATTGTAAACTATAGCTCAAACCTAGGTGAAAAGATTCTCGAATCCAAAATTGTGAGAAAGGTTCTTAGGTCTTTGCTTGAGAAATTTAGACCTAATTTTACAGTTATCAAAGAAATAAGGATCTGGACATGGTTAAGATAGAAGAACTCGTAAGGTCCCTTCAAACCTATGAACTTACCATTTCAAAATCTAAGAAAAAAGTCCATAGCGTTGAACACAGTTAAAAAAGAAGAGTCTGAGTCATCTGACTTAGAAATCCTTAGAGATGAGGAAATAGCCTACTTTGTGAAGAAATTCTAGAAGGCATTAAAGAGCAAGAGATGGCCTCAAGAGAGAAAGAAAAGAGCCCCTAGTAAATTTTAGAAAGATAGTAGTGATAAATCGACTGCTAGGAACTCTAGTAAAAAATCTCAGGTAGTTAGATGCCATGAATGTTAGGGGTTTGGTCATTATAGGAATGAATGCCTTAGTTTTAAGAAAATTTTGAAAAGGGGAAAAGTAAGGCATTAGCTGTGTCATTGAATGATGATGAAACGAACTCGAGTGATCAAAGTGAATCCTCTAGTAGTGAAGATGAAAAAGGATATGTGGCTTTTTTGTCCACAGTTAAGAGTGAGTCTGGTAAGGAGAGTGGTAAGGTTGAAGAAGAGGTACACAGTGAGAACTCTAGTGACGATACTGAGGATGAGACTGATATACAAGAGGCTTATCAACTTCTATTTAAGGAAATTTTTAAAATCAAGAAGGTAAATAAAGCCCTATTCAAGAAGGTAAACGAACTTGAGAGAGAGAAAGAGAGGCTCACGAGTGATCTTCAGGTCTTTTCTAAAAGCCTTAGTGAATTGACTGTGTCAATGAGAAGCTAGAGGACAAGGTTAAGATACCGACTTACTTGTGAGTTAGAGAAATCTAATACTCAACTGTAGTCTTTTATGAGTGGGACTAAGAAACTGGACAACTTGTTAGGAATGAACAAACTAGCTAGGTCTAAGATTTGTGAAAAGTGTTAGCAATATGATCAGTACATCTAAGATCACATTTGTGTATCCTTCCAACAAGTCTAGTAACTCAACCAATCCTGAACCTAAAAGTAACAGTGTCACTGAATTGAATGCTACTAGAGTCCGAGTGTCACCTAAAATTCAGCATCAACAATCACATGTATTTGAACCTAGGTTCATACCCACTTGCCATCACTGTGGAGCTTTAGGACACACGAGACCTAGGTGTCGTAAGCTAGCCAATAGGAATAAAAGTCAGGATATCCCGTCAGGTTAGCTTTCTTTCAAATCAGGTTTGTCACTTAACTGAGATGGTGACAAAATTGGCTAGGATCACCTCGACCTCTAGAAAAGTTTGGATCAAGAAATCTAATATGGCTAGGCATGGCGAGAATCTGAATTGCTTTGTAGGTCATGTTGCATATAAGGCTCAAAATACATGTATGTGGTATCTTGATAGTACTTGATCTAGACACATGTGTGGAAATAAGGCATTGATTTCTATCCTTGATGATTGCAATGGTGGTGTAATTACCTTTGGAGACAAGGCTACGGCACCTATCCATGGTAAAGGTACCATCAACATATTTGGACTTCCTACAATATCTAATGTGCTTTGTGTAGAGGGTCTAAAGTCCCATTTGTTGAGCATTAGCCAAAATTATGATGCTGATTATGAAGTGAGTTTTGCTCAAAAAAGGTGTACTGTTTACGACTCTTCAGGTGGTGTTGTCCTCGAAGGTGTTAGAACTTCCGATAATTGTTATGAAGTTCTCCCAAACTCTAATTGTGTACAGTAGTGCTAAAATTGAAATGACTAAACTTTGGCATCAAAGACTCGATCATGTTAAGTATAAAAGTTTGTCAAAATTGGTCAAAAAGAAAATTGTTGATGGCTTGCCTAAAATTGAATAAAATGAAAATGTTGTGTGTAAACCTCGTCAACAAGGAAACAAGTTAGGATAAACCAAAAACAAACCTCTAAAATTTTAACAAACAGACCTCTAGAACTTCTCCATATGGATTTAGTGGAAACATCTAGGACTGAAAGGCTAGGAGGTAAACGTTATATTCTTGTTTTGGTAGACGACTTCTCTAGATACACATGGATTGAACTATTAAGAGAAAAATCTAAAACATGTGATCTAGTTAAATCCCTATGTAAAAGACTTAGAATTTAACAAAATATTTCCATTTCTAGGGTTCGAAGTGATCATGGAAAGGAGTTTGAAAACTCTAATCTTGAACACTTTTGCTTGGAGGAGGGATTCAGCATGAGTTTTCCTCACCGATCACTCCACAGCAAAATAGAGTTGTTGAGAGGAAAAATAGAGCACTTCAGGAAATGGCTAGGGCCATACTTCATGACAATGATCTAGCAATGCATTTCTGTGATGAAACTATTAACACTGCTTGCCATAGAGTAAACATAGTATATCTGAGACTGAAAATCGATAAGACTCCTTATGAGATCTGGAAGGGCAAGAAGCCTACTGTCAAATACTTACATGTGCTTGGCAGCAAGTGCTACATTCTGAGGGATAGAGAAATCTTAGGCAAGTTTGATTCCAATAGTGATGAAGGGGTTTTTCTAGGATATTCTAAAAATAGTAGAGCCTATCGTATATAAAACTTGCGTACTCGGAGTGTCATGAAGTCTATAAATGTTGTTGTTGATGATGCTTTCACTGAAGGGGAGAGTGTTGAAAATGGGGTAGATTTAGATGATCTAAGTGATGATCAAGAAACCACAACTGAGAATAAAGAACAATCAATTCCAAAATCTTCGCGCCTCCTAAAGGTATAGATATCTCTAATAAGGATCTACCACCTAGTGAACAAACTAAGCTTCCTAGAAAGCCATCATCCAAGGTCAAGTCTAACCATCCTAAGGTCAAGATAATTGGAGATCTAGATGAAGCTATGAGGTTACGAAAGAGAGTTCTGAATAACCTAACATATACAAGCTATGTATCCCAAATTAAGCCTAAGAAAGTAGAAGAAGCCCTTAGAGATGAATGTTGGGTAAATGCAATGCATGATGAACTTAATCAATTTGTTCGAAACAATTTTTGGTATCTAGTGCCTAAGTTTGATGATTGCAATGTGATAGGTACTAAGTGGATTTTCAAGAACAAGACCGATGACTAGGGTACCATAACATGAAATAAGGCTAGGCTAGTTGTCCAGGGATACACTCAAGTTGAAGGGGTAGATTTTGATGAGACATTTGCCCCTGTTGCACATCTAGAGTCCATCTGTATCCTTCTTATAGTTGCTTGTACTTTAGGATTCAAGCTATATCAAATGGATGTCAAGAATACTTTCTTGAAGGGAATATTTCAAGAAGAAATATATGTTTAACAACCCAAAGGATTTATTGACCTTAAGTTTCTTCATTATATCTACAAATTGAATAAAGCCTTGTATGGCCTGAAATAAGCTCCTAGAGCTTGGTATAATAAACTCACTGCATATCTCGTTGACCATGAGTTTTCACGAGGTGGTGTGATAGAACTCTATTCGTTAGGCATATTGAAGAAACTATAACTATAGCACAGATCTGCATTGATTACATTGTGTTTGGCTCTCCCATTAACTCTCTTACTTATGAATTTGCCAAATGTATGAACGAGAATTTGAGATGAGTATGGTTGGAGAGCTAAGTTCCTTTCTTAGCCTTCAAGTAAAGCAAACCAACTATGGGTTGTTTATTTCTCAATCAAAATATGCCAAAGACCTAATAAAAATATTTGTACTAGACAGTAAAAAACACACAAGGACACCCATGAGCATGAGTTTTAAGTTAGGTCATGATCCTACAGGTACGAGTGTTGATCAAACATTGTATAGGAGTATGACTTACTCTAGCTTACAGCTAGTAGACTTGACATAGCAATTAGTATTGGAGTGTGTACGATATTTCAGGCTGATCCTAAGGAATCCCATCTGAGTATAGTGAGGCGTATCATTAGGTATGTTAGTGGGATCGTAGATTATAGGATCTTATATTCTAGAGAGTCTAATCTTGATCTAGTCGGCTATTCTAACATCGACTGGGCTAGAAATGCCGTTGATAGAAAAAGTACCTCAGGTGGATGTTCTTATGTTGGTTCTAATCTTGTTTTATGGATGAGTAAGAAACAAAACTCAATCTCCTTGTCTACATCTAAGGTAGAATACATTGTAATCGATAGTTGTTGCACTCAGTTGCTTAGGATGAAACAAATGCTAAGTGATTATGGGATAAAATAGGGTACCATAATTGTGTCTGTGACAACACCAGTGCTACCAACATCTCTAAAAATCATGTTTAGTATTCTAGGACCAAACATATTTGCATTGGTCATCACTTCATTCGAGAGCTAGTTGAGTCCAATGTGGTATCCATAGAACATATTTCTATTGAAAATCAACTTGCCGATCTATTCACTAAAGCTCTAGATTGTCTGAGGTTCGAATTACTTAGAAAGGCTATCGGCATGTGTGTTCCTCCTTGATCACCCTCACAAGTACATACATGTCTACTTTATTTCATTAAATCATTTTTGCATTAATTGCATTGCATGTTTATTTTGATTTGTATCTGCCTACCATTTCACATTTCTTTTAAATTTCTTATATATATGTATTAAAAAAATATTAGGGATGGTATTTCCTTGCCACTATTTCTTATAGACAGGGGGAGAAAGATCATTATATACTGCTTTCATTGAATTACAGGTCCTAGTGGCATTGGATTTGACCTTCAATCATAAAAGACTCACACTGTAGTGATTTAGCAGTCACTTCTCACAAATTTAAGATTTTGAGTCTTACTTGCATGGAATTAGTGGCACTTTTCACATGGGTCACATATACAATTTACTCATCTGTACTTGATCCCGATGTATGGAGAAATGTTTCTAATCATTGAGCATGTTGCATTTGTGATCAATTGCATTTTTAAGTGGACATACATGTTACAATCATGCCTTATTATATATATTTCTAAAAAATAAAAAAGGGAGAGAGAATGTGTACCAAAATTCAAAGATCTATAAAAGGTACTAATTTTCAAAGTTTCTAAACTGATGCTACATTGCAAAATTTATAAACTGGTGCTTTATTTATGAAATTTCATGCTTTAGTGCTATTTTTGTCATTTTATCTTCGGTTGCTTGGCACTGGGACCTCGCTCGAGCGATATTAACAGAATGTCTTTCGCTTGCCTTACTCAAGTGAAGCGAGCCTATTTGTTTCTCGCGAAAGATTTAACGTCATTTTTCCCATTTCTTTCAATTCTACTCTCTATTTCCTCTCGCCCACGACACTCTTGGTAGTGTATTGCTTCGATTACTAGAGGTAGCTAGTCCTAAAAGCTTCATTTCATCTTTGCATCACATTTTCCTCTCCAATTTGGGTAAGTCTCTTGCGAACCCTAGTTTGAGGTCAATTTGGGGTTTTTCGGTTTCCACTTATTTTTAGCCTAATTAAAACTTTTGCCTTGGCATACTGGTTGTGTGGGATATGTGATTCCTTGTTGTATGTCATTGCCCACTTCATTTGCATTCGAATTGTCTTTGCATAACTTTTATACTTTATCTTTACTTTGCGTCGATGTTTTGGAAAATTTTTGAATGTGATTGAGTATGTTCTAGATGCTACATTACTAAGGTCTGATTAGGGATGCTAGTTGTGCATTGGGGTTTTGAATTTGAGGCTGGATTTCTTTGCTTTATTCATGCCTGCAATGTGTTCGTTGTTATACTTCACTCACACTAGACTTTACCATTTGGCATTTTTTTGCATCCATTTATTGCAAGTGGTATCTTGGCCATTTCTATGTCCTTCGGTCATTACTCTGGGCATGTACTTGTTGGGTTTAGTGTTGGCATCATGACTTGCAATGTGTTCCCTTCGTCCTGCAGTCATGTTCCTTATGTCTAAGTTATGTCATCTACATCCATACATTGTTGTCTTGCGACTGCATCTATTGACACCCCAATATGTTTTGCATTATTTTACTTGGTCTTGCATGTTTGTACTTTTGTGCCTTGATTTGCATCCCTTTGCATTAGCAACTTTCCTGCATTGTTTTGCATGACGGATTATGGTTGGGTATTGTAGTACGTACATTCATGTATTTTTATTCTTGGGTGATTTATGAGGCTTGACGTTGCCTTCTGTATATTGTGTTCCAGGTAGCAACTAAGAAGACTAGGATTGCTGCTTAGCCTACTAGTGGGTCGACATCATACAACCAGTCTAAGTTTATCTCCTGCTCAAGAAGTGTTTGGGAGATAGTTTTCATTGCATTCGGTCCTAATAGAGCGTAAGGTCACTCTATCTGACCTACCGCTTGACCTAGCAGCCATATTCACCTCACGGGGTTGGGAGTATTTGCTGATTGGTTTAAATTCCCTACATAGTCTCCTGGTTCAGGAATTTTATGTGAACATTCATGATATTAATGGATCGTCATTGAGGGTGTTCTTTCGAGGTCAGACACTTAAGATCACACCAGATGTTATTTCTAGCTCTATTCATGTCCTCTGTGTCATTCATCCTATTTACCCGTATCTCTTGGCTGATTCTTTCCCAGCCGACTCTTTGGTTTGGTCTAGATTGTTTAATAGTCCTTTAGGAGGTGGGCCTTATGTGATTCGTACGGGATCGCTTTCTACTAACCAGCAGGTTTTGCTATGCATTGTGTGCACAAATCTGTGGCCGATTTCTCACACCTCCTCCTTGCCTATGGAGATCGAAGGCGGGATTTTTGTATGCTCTGCTACATGAGGATTCTATTGACCTACTCACCTTCATTTGTCAACACATTTTACGGACATTTAGGATACCAGGTCATAGGATTGGTCTTCCATATGCTTGCTTGATCCACCATTTGGTGACATCTTTTGGGGCTTCTTTTCTTGAGAGGGTATCCCGATGGGCTCTTAATCCCATTAGACATACTGCCATCTCCCAGAGTCTATCACATGGTGTATCACCTGCTTCTACTCCTGTTGAGCCAGCAAACCCCGTTGACCCGACAATGCCTACTGATCCTATAGGTAACCTTCTTGCTAATTTCTCAGATATTCCTCCGTCTTATTCTGATATTCCTACGTCTGATACTGATATTCCCTCTTCTTCTACTTCTGTTCCAACACCCATTCAACTCGCTCCTACTACTATCCCTTTTGTGGCATTTATAGGTCAGATATCGATTTTGATTGGCAGCAGGCCCACATGATGGTTGAGATTACTCAACTACAAGCTGCGTCTAAACGCTATACTAAGAAATTTGCTACACTACGAGGAGCTATTGTACTTGTTCAGCATTGTATCTGGTGGATGCACGAGCACTGGGATTATGAGACTGATGTTGATGAGTCTGATGACATGGACGACGAAGATGATGGTGCTACTTAGTTACTTCAGGATCCTCTTGTCATTTGTGACAAAACGGGAGAGCAGCAGTTTGTTTTTTGTTTTTTTTTTTTGGGATTTGTGATGATTGATACACTACTTTTGCTAGATTAAGTTTTGATGTTTTGCAATATTAATGTATATTTTTGGTGTTTTGACTTACATTAATATTATATCTTAATCTAGCTTATTGATATGATATTATGGCTATCATGACAGTTTGTCTTTACTGCTTTAACTTATATAATTATTTCTCGTGCTTTTACATTTGGTATTTGAGTTGTGATTTCAGAAAACGGGTTGAAAGAAGACAAGGCAACAGTTAATTCATTCAATTGTTTTGGTCATCATTGTAATATATGTTAATGTACTATTGTTTTGTTACAGAATGTCAAAGAGGGAGTTTGTTAAATTTTGAGTTGTCAATTTTATGAACAAAGGGTCAACTTGTAATTGTTCAAAAGTTTGGGGTCAATTTGTCAATGTTTAAAAGTTAGAGGTCAATTTGTACATGTGTAAAAGAGGGGGACTAAATTGCAATTTTGTCAAAGTATGTTAGGGTTCGAGTTGTGAAGTAGGACAAGATGTGTCGTTGAAGTTTCGCTAGCTGCTCGCCAAGTGGTCGCTCGAGCGTCAATAGCAGAAAGCCTTTCGCTCGAGCGACAGTATTACCTGGAGAACCCTATTTTTCTTTTTCTTTTTTTTTTTCTTTTTGAGATTTTGGCCTGATCCATAAGACCAAAAACATCCCATATAAATTGTATTGCGCTGTTTTTCAAATTTTTCTTAAGGATTGAACTTGGAAAAAAACTTACCACTCTTTGATTCATTCATTTGATCCTACATTCTTTGAGCGCTATCACATAAAAACATCAAAATCACTCTCTTCAAACAGCGTAACACATCCTTCCAGAGCATTTGTTGAATCTTGAAGATCAGCAAAGGAGATCAAGGTTCTGATCATTAGAGAACCGGAGAGTTCTCTTAAATCCACTGGAGATAGATGAAATCAAGAGCTGAAAATTGGTGTAGCACGCAATCCGAGAGGGATAGGAGCCAAGAGTTGGTGGAGTTACACGCATTCCAAGAGAGCTATGAGAAATACTATAATCAAGAGATCAAAAAAACTAGTGTTAGTTGAGTCTGATGGATTGTAAGTGATTTCTTCATTTATAATGGATTAGTCCGGCTTCGGCCCAGAGTTTTACCCACATTGGGGTTTCTCCGTCATAAAATAATTCTGTACTTTACAATTCTTGCAATTTGCTGTTTTTCGATATTTCAACATAGGATAGTAAAGCATGTGAATTCATCTGGACAAATTAATATTGGTGACTTGTTGCATTTATTAATTAATTGGAAAAAATTTCGCGTAAACACCTATTCAATCCCCCCTCCTTTAGTTTTTGATTGGGTTAAACTAAGTTATTTCATAAAATAAGAGCATTAATTATAAATTCAATAAAATAAGGTTGGGAGTCCAAACACACATCTCGTAGACCAGATATAGGCTTAAAAATCTAAACCCTACTGCGGTACAGTGAAGTCTTTACTTTTCAATTAGTTTACAACACAATTTATGAGTTGGAACTAGCAACCATGATAAATTTTTGGATATGATGATAAGTGATACAAAAGTACTAAGAATTTAGTCCTTCTCCCAATGTCCACTCTAGTCCATGGCATGTTCGACAAAAAAAATTATGCAATACAACACGTAAAAACATGCTTGTAGTAAATCTGCAGCGTAGTGTAATTTCTAATCGTTTTTTCAAGAGTTGCTGTTTAAGGTTCCAATAAATTTTAAGATAAGTGAAAATATTAAAAACACTTTGACTTTCTGAATT